AGCAGGCAATTTTGGGTGCGCATAAAAAGCTCTTTGTTTGTGGAGTCGGGTTGGTGACGCCTGATTAAAGCAACGAGCTTTCCGGCTCGGGTGGCGCCAGGGTAGCTTAAAGCGAGGGCAGAGCAGCCTCGAGGCTGCTCGAATTGACGCTGGAAGCCAAGCGTCGCCCCCGTCGCCCCCGCCCCAGGGCCAGAAGCCTCCAGATTTCACTCTGGCTCCTGCCTAAAAGGCTGGGGGGGGGCATTGGGGCCCCACACGTCTGCACTGGCCTTCGGGCTTCTGGCAGATGTTACGTTTATAGCGCAGTCGGCACGTCGGTTGTGCTGTAAATGGCAACGCACGCCACCCTTGACCGGTATGTCGAATGGCAGACCAGCCAGATGTAACGTGGTCCCGTGCCATGCGGGACGTCTTTGTGGCTGGTTTGTATCGTGCCCGAAGTGGACCGTAGGCAGGGGGCTGCCACGGTCAGATGGTTGGGGTGGTGTACGGGGCGGGTCCGGGGCTGGGATGCTGCCCCGCCACCCTCCTTCCCCAATCCCCGGGGCCCTGGCAGTTGCACTTGGGATCTGAGGAAATCTTTGCCCCCTCCCCGGCTCTGTGCGCACAGCTGTATGCAGCTGCATTGGCAAGACGTGTGATTTTCCTCGGGCTGGGGCACGAGATCCCCTGCGATCCCAGTGGTGCCATTACTTTAATGTCTGCCGGGGGCCTCGGAGACCAACGCTGTCCTGTCTTGCACGTGTGGCTTGCAGAAAAGGGAGAACCCCTCCAAGCCGCCATGTGAGGTGCCCACCAAGAAGCTGATCCTCGAGGGCAGTGCAGACAAGGCCGCGCGGGGCTCCGTGCCCCTGCCTCAGAAGCCCGACACGCTGGAAGCCCTCGCCATAGCCATCGACCCGGGGCTGACCACGGCACCCATCTACGTGGAAGCCCAGCCCTCGGTCTCGGAGCTGGACTTCCAAGCCATCTCCTCCCCGCTGGTTGGGACAGTGAACCTGATGCCGCTGGTCCAGATCATGGAGCCCCTCAATGCTGTGGCGCTGACTGTCACCTCCCCCACCCAGGGGCTTGACCCCATCTCCCTCCACCTCCCCAGCCAGCCCACCGTGGCGCTCTCTCCCGAGGCCGCAGCAGCGCCCGATGCCCCCTTGCAGCCGTTCACTGCAGAAATCGCGGTCCCTGGTGAGGACCTGGTGCCCGAGCAGACCCCGCATGCCTTAGTGGCTGCGGTGGAACCGCGAGACCTCGCCGACCACGGGGCTCTCATCATTGAAAACGTGGCCATTGAGCCCTTCCTCGAGACGGACACCTCGGCCGCTGCTGCCGTCCTCAGCTCCCTTCAGGCAGCGCCCACGCAAATGGTGGCCTATTTCGAGACCATCCCTACAGCCCCCGCAGCAGCAGCCCCCAGTGCCATGGGGCCCCTGATGGCAAGCGTGACTCCTCCAGAGACTGTGCTGTCCTCAGCCCTCACGGTGCCCGTCGTCTCCACCGTCCCCATCGTGTCCAACTATGCAGCAGGCGGTGCCACGGACTTTCCTTCGCCGGCGGCAGATGTGGACCTGGAGACGGTGCCTGAGGAACAGCTGGAGGAACACCGATACCACAAGCACCAGCTGAGCACGGAGGAGCTGGTGGGGGTGGTCATGGTCCTCCAGAAGAAGGTCAAGGTCCTCCAGCAGCGGCACCGGCGCCACTGCGCCAAGCTGGAGGCTATGGAAGGTGTCGTGGAGCAGCTCCGCAAGGAGAGCCTGGTCTCGGAGGAGAAGCTGAAGCTGCTGGAGATGGTAGGTGGGGAGCGGTTGGGGTGGCTTTCTAACAGCGAGTCTGTCCCCAGCTGCAGGGCTCCCTGGGCCACGGCCAGCCCTGAGGGGTCAGCCATCAGAAAGGCAAACAAAACATTAAGGATGTTAAGGAGGGCGTTGTGAATGAAGCAAAGTCTCCTTGTGACCAGGTCCCTCAGCAAAAGCTCTTAAGGTAGTCGCAGAATTGCAGGCAACAGCCACTCCTGGATTAGAAATTGGCTTAAAGGTGGACAGCAAAGAGTGCGTCTGCACGGTCAGTTTTCAGGATGGGAAGAAGAAAATAGCGGGAGCCCCCAGGGTCTGTGTTGGGACCAGTGCTGTGTACCATATTCATAAATGATCTGGAAAAGTGGCTGAGCAGGGGGGTGGCCACGTCTATAACAACAAAATTATTCTGAGTGGTAAAGAGCAAGGTGGACTGTGAGGACCTACAGCAGGGTCTGGCACTGTTGAGCAAATGGGCAGCTAAATGGCAGGTGAAATTCGGTGTAGATGAGTGTGAATGGGGGGGAAGATAACCCAGGCTCTACCTGCACTCGGCTGGGCTCTGCATAAGCTGTTACCACATGGCAAAGAGATCTGGGAGCCGCTGTGGACCGTTCGCTGAAAGCATCGGCTTGGTGCTCGGCAGCTCGCAAAGGCAAACACAGTGTCTGGCTTTCTTAAGGCACTCAGTTTAAAATGAACTCCCGGCCACTCGTTTCCACCCAGCGCGGGATGAAAGCAGGGAGCTCATGTCCACCGTGGGGGAAGCTGAGAGTTCAGCCAAATTCACAAAGGGACTGGATGAAACCTTGGAGGGAAGGGAACTTCGGAGTATGGGAGTGAGGGGTCCTGCCCCGTCATCCAGGTAGCCTATCCCATGATTCCCTGTGCTGGGATGCTCCATCTCCTGGGCTGTTCTGAGCCTGAACCACAAGCTTAGGAGATGCACTGATCACCTTTGCTGCCTTTCTCTGGACCTTCCCTAGTTCTTCTGGGAGGTGCAGGGACCAGAACTGGGTGCAGTATTCGAGGTCTGGACGCACCATGGGTTTGTAAAGGGGCGTCAGGACACTGTGTCTTGTTCATAATTCCCGTAATAAAGCCAGACGTTGTGTTTGCCTTTGACAGCTGCCGAGCACCGAGCTGATGTTTTGAGCAAACGGTCCACAGCGGCTCCCAGATCTCAGTCAGCAGCTCCCAGATTTTGTAAATCCTTGTCGTACCCCCCCTTAAGTGTCTCTCGGTCGACTCTTAAGTGTCTCTCTTCTAAACTGAACAGGCCTGGCCTCAGTCTCCCCTCCTGTTCGGTTTAGAAGAGAGACAGGAGATGGGATCTTGCTCTCAGCTGGCGGTGGGATCTGCCAGCCCACAGGTTTGAATAGCAGGGCTAGGTTTGTATCTTCCCTCCCCTGCCAAATTCACCCAGTAGCGGTGTCTAGCCTGGCCTTTCTGGGCTCCGCTCCATCACCGTCCTGCCCCCTCGTCTTGCCCAGTCTCCCCCTCCTTTGTGGGGAGAGTTCAGTCATTCACCTCGCACTGCTTTTCTCACGCTTTGTTGGGCTCTGCTTCATAGATTTCATAGACATCAGGGCTGGAAGGGACCTCGGAAGATCATCGAGTCCAGCCCCCCGCCCAAAGGGCAGGAAGTCAGCTGGGGTCATAGGATCCCAGCAAGATAAGCATCCAGTTTGCTCTTGAAGGTGTTCAATGAAGGCGCTTGAACCACCTCCGGTGGCAGGCTGTTCCAGACCTTGGGGGCTCGGACAGTAAAGAAGTTCTTCCTTATGTCCAGCCTGAAACGATCTTGAAGTAGTTTGTGACCATTCGACCTCGTCATCCCTTGGGGCGCTCTGGCTTCATCCTTTCCTGATTGGTTTTAATGCCGCTGGATGAATGCACCTGGAAGAGAACACCCTCTTCCTTCCCTTTTTCCCCCCAGGGGTGTTGGGGCACCAATGGGAGGCTTGCATTGTGTGTGAATTGGCTGAGGTGCCGAGTCAGGAAGGTGGCTGCTGCGAGTCAGCAGTTTTCCCCCTGGAGTCTCCTCTAGTGCAGGGGAATTTCCCCCATTTACCTCTTCAGTGAGCAGGAAGCCCCATCCCTCTCAGGATCTCCCGCGTGGCTCTTTCCCCATTAATCTTTCCTACCACCACCTCTGTAGTGAAGGCAGCTTCTTTGCCCCTGCTGGGTTGCTCCCATCCTGTAGCCCTTTACCATGAGAGGGAGGCCACCGCTATCTTTGTCCACCTCGGTAGCACCCAGCCAGGTCTGGTTGGCAAACTTGTTGGCCCTGACATAGAGCAGGCACTGTGGGCGCAGCAGAGGGACAGAGCCAGTTAGGGCCTCAATGCACTTACCACGCAGTGAATGGGTTAATCGTAGGATGAATTCTAACCTGCTACCTGTTCAGCCAATTTATGGCACAATGAAATGGCGAACCAGCCACAAAGATGTTCCACATTTAATATGGGACATCATAGAAAATGAGGGTGGGAAGGGACCTCCGGAGGTCACATCCAATCCAACCCCCTACTGCAAGCAGGACCAGCCCCAACTGCATCATCCCAGCCAAGGCTTTGTCTACCCGGGTCTTGGAAACCTCCAAGGACAGAGACTTCACCACCTCTCTGGGGAGCCTGTTCCAGTGCTTCACTGGTACCTCTTGAGAGAGGTTTTTCTTAATATCCAACCTCAGCTTCCCTTGCAGCAGCTTGAGCCCGTTGCTCCTTGTTCTGTCACTTGCCACCAGACCGGCCCTGCCACACATTCAAATTAAAGCTTGGTAGAAACCAGCTATAGAGTTGTGACACATTGTCAAGCACTAGCTTCCTCCTGTAGCCACTCCAGCTTCTGCTGTGCTGCTCTCTCTGCCATTGAACTTCCCCGGGGGACGACGACCTGATTGCATCAGCCACTGCCTTGTCACCCAGGGCAGATGTATTTGCATAACCCCTCCCCCTTGCTGTGATGCTGTAAATAAGCAGACTTTGCTAATAGGCAGAATAGGGGAGGGGAAATAGGCTGGAAAGGGATAGGGGATTCCTAATTATCCCTCCAATTACAGAGCAGAAACATCATTATAAGTTGCATAAGAATTAGACTTCCTGTCCATGCATGGCTCAGCCTTTGCATTACGCAGGTAATGAGCTCTGGGCTTTTCTTCTGACATCGGCTGGTGCGATGCACTGAAATCAAAGGCCCTCGTGCAAATAAATGGATAAGATTTAATGAGCTAGGTTGCATG